TCATCCTGACAGGGCAGTTGGTGTTCAGTGAGGGGAGAGAGAGAGGTGGTGTCATCCGTAGTCCCACAGCCCTCCCAGGTCCCGTTTTCAAAAGTCTGTATAATACCACCATGCTGTTTTGCTGTTAACACAGTGACATGTTGCTATCACAGCAACTGTCATGATATTACTGCTGTCGCGCTCTCTAGGATAAAACTATCCCGGATCCGTGTGGACATGCTGCAAACATGCCTCTGCCCTGCAGCGTTAGACATAGCTTCAGCACCTGGATCTTCTCTCTGTGCAGACACACGGTGTGCTGAAATTTCTAGGACATGTCCCATGTCTGTAGCAGTTGGAAGAGCATCTGTGTGATCACAGCCAAGATGGTAAACAAAAATCCCCAAAACAGCCGCTCTTCATCTTCCACGTGATTGTTTTAAACAAACACGGCCCAAGGTGTGTGCTGTGCTGAATCTATCCTGTTGTGAAATAAAGCTATTAACTTGGTTTTTTATTTCATTAATAAATGATAAGTCTTATCATGGAATAATAAGCGTTACAGCTGGATAAAGTATTGCTAAAAAATGTAACTACAGCAGTGCAAACTCACAGCGCTGGCTTTTCAAATGTTTGTGATTTCATATACAGCAGCTGCTTATCTGACAGGGAAATTAAGGTTGGTAACAACATTTTCCATTTTACTCTGAAACGATCCTGATTCTGTTGTAATCATAGTTTTTGTCATGTTTCTATTTGGGGTCAGATAGTAATGTGGCAACCAGGAAAGAATTGTGAGTGTTACCTTGTGCCCTAGGAGCAATTAAATCAAGTCTATCCCTACAAAGACCGACGGTGCAAAAATATGAAAGAAAATAAATGGAAGGGAAGTCAGCAGGCTTTCACACGTCTTCACTGCCCTCGCTCAGCCTGAGCCTTTGCTATCCCTGCCATTTCTGAGATTTGCACAAACTGTTTCATGGAATGGTAGGAACAGTAATATTTTGCTGTTGTCTGTGTGATGGGCAACCTTTATCTTTGCTGTTATAAACTCAGCTTAAATTAAAGCAAAAATCAAGAAAAGACAATTTTAAAATTTTTTTCCTGGAGAAAGTGAAAGTTGTTTAGCACAGCTGCCGTGACTGTGCGTTTAAGGCTGTGGTTGTACATATTATATGCTAATGTAACAGACCCCCAGATGACAGGCACATATCAGGCCCTTGTTTCAAAGCTGTCTCTGAGGGCTTTGATCATTATATGCCGCTACCTCACAAGTTGCAATGCAAGAATATTAACGTATTCTTCTTCATTTTCAATGCAAAAGGGTGCATTAGTGTGATCTTCCTTGCCAGAGTGGTCTGACGCATCAATCTCGTCTCTAATCTTACTCATGTCCCCATACGCACATCGCTCGCTGGAATGAAACGGTGTTTGGGTTAGCTGGCTGAGCAGAGTGGCTGGGAGGAGGTTAAAAGCTTGAGCCCTGCTGACACTTGAGCTGGTGGTGCGGGAGGAATACAGCACTCCGGTTACAGCAGCTCATCGGTTGCTAACTCTCCGACTTTGCTGGCCCGGTCATTCTGCAACAGCAAAATAGTATTTAGTGATCTGATTGCTTTCAGCTTGCTCTCGCTAGGGACCTGTCTGTTGAAGTCAAACTGCAGGGTAGGATGTCTTGTGTTAGCTTTAACCAGTTACGGAGAATAGGGTGGCAGTGCGGGAATCGGCAAGTTTGCAGATGACACCAAGCTGAGTGGTGCAGTTGATGTGCCTGAGGGACGGGATGCCACCCAGAGGGACCTGGACAGGCTGGAGGGGTGGGCCTGTGGGAACCTCATGGGGTTCAACAAGGACAAGTGCAGGGTCCTACACCTGGGTCGGGGCAATCCCTGGTGTCAGTACAGGCTGGGGGATGAAGGGATTGAGAGCAGCCCTGCCGAGAAGGACTTGGGGGGACTGGGGGGTGAAAA